GTTCTCAGTTCGAGTGCCTTGTTTCTCTTTGTGTGATTCGGGTCCATCTTGTGTCGTAAGGCATTTAAGGCTGCCATCCGGCACAGACAATTAAAAACCCTCTGCAGGGTTTTGCCATTTTGCCGTTTTATAAGCACAGATTACAGCTTTATGTAACGCACACGGACACTGAATCGGGGACAGAGCATGGAGTTCAGAGCCAGGCGACGCACACAACGTCCGATAAGCGACCACAGACAGGAATACGGGTTGGGTTACGGATTGGGTTACGGCGACTGTCTTTCTATCTGCTGCGTGTCTGTGTGTGTATGTGTGTGTTGTGATTTTATGTTGGTCATAGTCATCGTCAGTCCCCAACACTCCTTTCGTCCTTGTCTGCTTGTCTACTTTAATGACATTGCATTGCACTTATTTCTTTTTGACTTTTTTATACACATATTGTCCTGGAATGTGTTCCCACCTAGGAGCAGACCAAGCGAGTGTAAAAGGGAGATAGTAGGCGTGACTGAGACAGAGTTAGTTGTAAAACCTGATGATAGCTTAATTTTAGAGTTTTTAAATCGTGATTTTTTCCTTTTTTTTCATTTTTCCATACGTTGCCATCTTCTGCATTTTCCAACAATGTGATTTGGGCGCAAAATCAGTTGCGAATTTGCATGGCTGAGCGCACAAAATGAAGTCATTCAGTTGCATAGAAAAAGACAAGATGAAATGGAACGGACAGAAAGGGGAGTATCTGCCAAATATATGCAATGCACGAAAAGCAGGTGATCATGTGCGACGGCTGTGTCATACGATTTTAGTTTCTGAGGTGATTTCGACTATTTAACGGGCTTTGCTTTTGCAAGGGACAAGCAAAACACTCGACAACTTAGAGGAATGCAATTTAAGGCAGGGGTATATAAAGAAAATGCAAATGAGCTATGGAAAATATTTTGCTATTTTTGATTTTCATTTGCTATGCAAGAAACTAAGACCTGAAACTACAAAAAGATTTTCCTCATTTGTATATATATTTTACATATAATATGCAAATTTATTGGAGAGTAAAAAGAAACGGTACACACTCAAATATATATTTATGGCGGGAATATCTTTTGAAAAACTGGAGCAAATCTAATGCAAACAATTTACATAATTCATTTTTCTTAAGCACATAATTTGTAAGATCTTCCAACTGAAAAAAATCTCTTTATGAAATATATGAGTAGCAAATGAATAAATATGTAAATTGAAATAGAAAAACTGTTTAGGGTTGCCACATAATCAACATAGTCTGGAGCCTCCGCCCACATGTCTGTTTGGGGTATTTGTACCACAAATGGAACAAAACGTGTCCATAATGTGGCATAGTCATAGCTACAATCGTATAATTTAATACTTCATCAACTTTAAGGAACCATTTAATATGCTAATGAAGCACAAAGGAACCCCAATGCCCAATTGCAAAACCCTTTCGACCAACACATAAACACGATGATAAAAATAAAAAAATAAGAAAAAAAAAATGAAGGAAATGCTGAAATTGAAACCGTTTATGGAAATTGGAAAATTACGCGCGAGACAATCGGACAAACGCATAATAAATTCGAGTATTTCCATATATGAGCGGATATGGGGCAGGGCATATAAGAAAATATGGCAACGCCGCCAGCGTAAAGGAAAAATCTGAGCAAATAGTCCGGTATTATGAGCGGGTCGCGACAAATGAGCGGGAATGAAGGAAGTGCATAAGCGACAACAGCAAACCGGAAACGGAAATATTTTGCAATTGGCGCAAGGCAAGCGCCGGAAAAGTGAGGCAGAGGCTGAGGGTAGGCGTGGCTGTTAACGCATTTACAAGCCTTGGCGACGACGACAATGAAATATCACCAAGATTATCTGGCGTCTCCATTGGACCGGGCAGGGGTCCGCTGCCAAAGGCCGGGCATTTACTTTGCATAATAAGCCAGATTATGAAACCGTGGACCCGACGACTTTGACAATTGATTGCGCTGCTCAAAGCAGGGCATGGTTGGGGCTTGGTTTGCCCTGGAAAATTGCCCGGAAAAAAGTATTTTCATTAAGCAGTCAGTGAGTGAAGTAAATAAAAGCTCGACAAATTTCGATTTGAAGCCAACAAATTTTAAGCTGAAAGTCAGACAACATTATATGGCATAAAAACTGCGCTGAATTTATCATATTTGTCTGACGTCTGGCTCTAATGCGTTTTTATGTTAGAAATCACTTAGAGTTCTTGCTGTTTTTGGTCAGCGGAAGTGGCCATAAAATGGCCGTGCCACCATTTTTATGCCCATAAATTCGGCTGTGAAATTGAAACTTAAAATGCGTAAAGTATACGCCTCATGCTTCAGTGCCAGGCGGACGGCCCCTCTCAAGAGGCGGCAAGCGCGCCGGCAGTTTCAATTTTTATGCACATTTTATATGCCTACTGTAAATTGTTGTCCAGCCACGCCTGCCCGCCCCCTCTGGCCACCCTACACAGAAGTTCAAAGGCCAGAGGCGCTCACAAATGTTGTGGCATTTTCTTTTAGCCACTTTTGTCTATGGTCGCTGTCGAAATTCCACGTTCGCAATCGTCATAAATCTTATGGCCACATCTTGAATTTATGTGCCCCACACAAACCGACCGCCCAAGCCACCATCTTCCACACACCCTGTTACGCATACTGCGGCTGTGTTTTGTGGCTTAGATTGCTAAGTTCGCGCCACTTAGATGGACGGCTGTGAGGCAGCTGTCGGCTTTTGTTATTGATTTTTGCTGCCGCTTATTGAATTTGTTTGTCGGCCAACAAGAAAGTTTTTTAATCAAAAAATAGTTGGCTTTAAACACTTTTCTCCAAATGACAGCAACGCGGAAACAATTTAAAACGTTACCGTTTTAATTCTAAGCAATAGACAAAGGCCGTAGACAAAGCCAGAAGCCAAAAGCATTTTTACAGCTTAAATATTTACAGCACAAACAGAGATATTTCTCTAATTCTCTCTCTCTCCCTCTCTCCCTCTCTCTCTCTCTCTCTCTCTCTATTTGTCCATCTCTTTCCCTTTGGCTGCTGGCTTGCCAAAATCTCAACCCTTAAATAGGGGCAGTTTTCATTACTTGGCCGGCGAACGTCTGTCCGACCGGGCTAAGACAATCAAAGGTGAGCTTACAACGTGGCGTCTGTTGCTTGGCATTTCTTTTATTTTCCGCTCGGCTGGCGCACAGAATCACGTGGTCAGCCGCACCCCCATACCTGCTTCTACGTGCAGGTAAGCTGAAGAGCAGCTGCATCCTTTGGATAGCCAAAGCCAAAGCCAAATCCATTGCCGTTGCCGTTGCCGCCGCCATGAAAATTGGCGTCTGCCAAACATAAATAAAAAAGGTAGACAAATCCGGAATAAATAACAGCGTTGTCTAGAGCTCTGCCCCCGCTCACACCTGCTCACACCGCCCATCCTACCTTTTCCATCGCACCTGTCTGCGAAGTGCAGGCGTCGTCGCGTCTCGATTCTGGTCCAGTCGAGTCGAGCTGCCGCGTCATCGTTATGGCAACCGGTGGATGCTACACCAGCCACGCCCACACTTCAAACGGTCTCACACTGTTGCACGTTGCGTATACGCTCAGTTGCACCACAAAATGAGCGAAAATCGCGCCATCTATTTGCCATGGCAATGCCATTGCGTCTTTTGTTCAAGACTTTTAATAAAATATAACCATTTAATTGATGCTGGTGCTGTTCACGCAGCGCATCTGCACAGCTTTTAAAGCTTTAGCCTTTGCCAAATTAAAAGAAAATTAAAATATTCATCATATAAAAACAACATTTCACTTAATTCCTAGATTAAGTTTATTTATTCTGCATTGTCGTTTGTAACATCACAAAAGGGATTGCTAAATAAGAAGATCCGTTTAAGTTAAATCTCAATATATCTTTAACAATATATCAGTCTTATGAATATAGTGAATGTACGGTCCACAATGATTTCTTCTGAATTTAAAAAAAATATTCATAAAGCAAATGTTCATTAAAAAAATCCTATTAAAATGAAAATTTCTAAAATATACTTTTTAAGAAAAACTTTTTAACTTCTAAAATTCAGGTTTAATTTTTTGAGTGTACTTTAACTGAAATATTCCAATTAAACTATATTATATACTTAAATTGTGTTGTTTTACCCTCGAAAATGCCAACTTTGCATACAAGAGAGAAAAAAATTATCTACAAATCGGTGACCATTGATTACTCTTTCAGTTCTTATGAGAAATAGACTATGCACAGATTCATTAAAGGAGTCTCCCATATACATGTACACATACAGATAGATAAATAAATAAATGAAAATATAAGTGAACATCGTAAAATATATTTATATTTAAATACACAAGTACGTATAGTTGTAGATGTCCATCTATGCGTTAAACATTTCGAGACAAAATTATAATACCCTCTGCAAGGGTATAATAAGTATATATTGTTTATATTTATATAATGTTGTTTTCGCGATAAGCATGTAATTATTAACAAGGGAGCTCAAGTTAGAAGTGACCGACTGGGAGATACCTTTAACCCAGACGCTGAGCAGACGCTAGAAAAGCCAAATGGAATGGGATACCCGAAAAATTAAAAATTCTATATATGTGTATACTATACGAGAATATATCGACGATATTTGGTGGGTTTTTATAAGTTCCGAGATATTTTAAAATCAGCGCGGCAAGTTATCTATGATGTGAAATAAACATGTGCCTTCCTGGGATAGAAGGAAAGTTTAAAATTTTATATCCTTATTTCTCGTAGTCTCTAAGATTGACGGAAGGATAAACGAACAGAGCTAGATCGACTCGGCTGAGCACTGTTTAATAAATTAGCATAAAACCAATATGCCTTTTTTCAATGTTTGCAGTGTATAAATATGAGAGACTTTTGAAAAATTCCAAGTAATATATGCAGATTTATAAGCAATTTTAATACCAACTGTCGCATGTAGAACGACTGAAGCAATAAATACGAACGGAATAAAATTGAGCTGATAATTTGTGCAAAATGCAAAGTAAGATATTTGTGTACCTAATTTTAGTGTTATTCACTTTGGAAAACTCTTTGGCTAGAAATAAACAAGCCGAAACTATTTTAAGCAAGTGCGAAAATTTGTGTTCTAAGTTTCCAGAGTTACAGAAATCCTACAATGCCATAATAGAGAAGCGCTTGCAGCAGACAAATATTTACAAAAAACTGGTCAAGAGTCTGACGATCAATAATGAAAAATTACTGGCTAAAATAAGCCTACAAGGTACACTCATTAATAAGCCCAATCATCTAGAAAACGTTACCCACGAACTGCGTGGACTGAAGCAAACCATCAACGAAACATTTACTAAACTAAACTCAAGTGAATTAACCATACACGAACTAAGGGAACAGCTGTTGAAAAAGACTAACGAATTGAGTAAAGCAAATAAAAAAATCAAAGAACAAGGCTCGACAATAGATGTCATGAACGTCACTTTAAGGCAGCAAAACGATCGCATTGCGGAATTCGAAAGCCAAGTCAAGGCCAACAAGCAGCACCTCAGAGAAAATCATGAGCTGATAACAAAATTGAACATAAGTGTCACGGCATCTGGTGAACATATGAGCACAATGAGTAACAAGATTATTGAACTGCAATCGCAGTTGAATTCTGATGCTGCGAGTATCGAGCAATTGAATACTGTGATAGCCGCCTACACGAACTGCTGCCAGGCTTCGAGTTGTGAGCCATTTGGCAGCTCTTTAAATGTGCATGTGATAAAGGTGCCCGGTGTGGGCGAACCCTTTCGAGTGCTTTGCAATGGCCAACTAGCTGGTCCCGGCTGGACAGTGATACAGCGCAGGATCAACGGGAGCGTCGACTTTTATCGTAACTGGAGCGACTATAAAACCGGATTCGGCGATTTAGCTGGCGAGTTCTTCATAGGTCTGGAGAAGCTACATCACATGGCCAAAGCCGAACCACAGGTACTCTATATACAACTGGAGGACTTTGATGGCCTGTTACGTTATGCCACATATGATGACTTCAAGGTGGGCTCTGAACAGGAATCGTATGCCCTGCAGTCCCTGGGTAATTTCGGCGGAGATATTGATGATGCGTTAAGTCTAAATGAAGGTCAAAAGTTCAGCACCTACGATCGCGATAACGATAATGATGAAGCTCTAAGCTGTGCTGAAAGTTTTCGTGGCGGCTGGTGGTACAACGCTTGCGGTCTTAGGTGCGTTAATTTGAATATTAAAACTAAAGATATGCATGCTTAAAATTATTTTTGTTATTTGCAGTAACTTGAATGGTCCTTACCAAAACCCAGATGATTACACCTCGAATCAAGGCATCCTTTGGGTGGATACAGACTGGCATGATAATGATTATTCCTTCAAATCAGTTCAAATCATGATAAAGGCCAAAAAACTGTAAACTAAACCAAAAAAAGGTTTAATAAAAATAATGAGAAGAAATAATAATCTTTTTTAATTTTATTTTTATTTACTTTTTTATTTTATTAACATAATCTGACAACTCTTTAAAAATAAGAGAAATAATTTATAATATATCAAAAAAATTTGCTCAGTGTACTAAGCAGGAAAAACATTCTGATAGCGCTTATCTTAGACTTCCCACATATTGTTGCTGGTGTATAGCTTGATAGCCCGTCTGACTTAGAGTTCGCTCTCAGTGAGCTCCCAAATCTTGGGAATTTGTATAAAAAATCTGCTCTAACTTTTAGTTCGGGACGCATAAGCAGAATGTGCAGATATTCGAATACTTTTATATATTACATTTTGGTGCTCTCAGTGAGTAGCAGTTGGGCTAGTTTGATGGAGGATGATGAAGTACAAGTAAAAATTTTTAAACTTGAAGAACTGATCAAGCAAAACAATAAGCAGCTGCTTAAGCTGGAAGCCAACACCGATTTAAAAATATCTGGGCACATTGAGGCCACAGAGCTGTGTTGCGAGACTCATGTTAGGGAGAAGGAGACCCAGTTGGCTGCTTGGCGGGCACAGGCCAAAACGGCTGCAGTCGAGCTCAAGGAAATTGAAGATCACTTTACAACACTGCTGAACAATTTGACCAGCTGCAGAATTAGTTTAATGGCCAAGAATTATCAACATCAAATTCAGAGTGAAGTGGACCTTAAGGCTAAAATATCCGAGCTGAGTTTGCAGCTCAAGTTAAAAGATGCACAAATTTTGGAATTACAAGCCCTGACCAATGAGAATTTGTTAAAGCTGCAGGCGGCACACAGCAAGCTCAAGGCTTACGATGATGAATTGGAAGAATTTCAGCCGCGCAGCTGTTTGCCCTTTGGCAGTACCACCGGCATCTATAGGATCAAGCTACCTGGCCAGGAATCCTTCTATGTGCCCTGCGATGCGCGTTTCGCTGGCTCCGGCTGGTTGGTTATCCAACGCCGCATGGACGGCAGCGTGAATTTCTTTCGCAACTGGAGCGACTATCAAGTGGGTTTTGGTGCACTTAATGGAGAGTTCTTTATTGGATTGGAGAAGCTGCATCGCTTGACCGCTCTGCAGCCCTATGAGCTCTATGTGCATCTGGAGGACTTCGAAGGCGAGATACGCTATGCACACTATGACAACTTGAGCATTGGCAGTGAGAAATCCTTTTACGAGCTCAGCTCTCTGGGCAGATACACTGGCAACGCTGGCAACTCGATGGGCTTGAATGTCATGCAGAAGTTCTCAACACTGGACAGCGATAACGATAGCTGGCTGGAAGGCAGCTGTGCGCGCCGATATCACAGCGCCTGGTGGTATGCAGCCTGTGCAGCCTTTTGGTATGTCTTTTACTAGTGTTTGCTAAATCCTTAAATAGTGCTCAGTATTTTATTCCATTAGCAATCCCAATGGCAAGTACTATAAGCGGCGGCAGCTGAGCACCAGCTCGCGCGGCAAGGGCATTATTTGGCAACACTGGCACGGCTTCGAAGAGACACTCAAATTTATACAACTCATGATACGACCCATATCAGCAGCAAAATATTGAAAATCAAATGTAAAAAAAAGAAGCAGACAACTGCCTGAAAGTATATAACAATTTGTAACTTAATAATAGAATATTTGTGCATACACAGTCAGGGACAAAAGTATTCGTCAACTAAAAAATCAAAATAATTATTGATTAATTAAACTGAAAAACATATATTTTTTTTATGTTCTTCGATATACCTAATTCGTATAAACGTATTTATAAAAGAATTGTAAGCGAAAAAAAACACCAAAAAAGTTTGCCTATTTTCTTATTGGCGATAGCGCGAATACATTTTTGAACATGCAAGAAAATATAAACGAGACTTAAAAATATTTAAATTAGTCTTTTAATAAATCTTACATTTATCAGAAAACATAATTTAAATAAGAGTGCTTGCAAGGTTGCATTCCGGCACAGAAAGTTATATTATAAAATGTCAACTTTATATTAAAAATTAAGAATACAGTGTAATAAACCCTGGATTAACGAGTTCTTATATAAGAGTTAATCGACATAATTGCAATTAAAAAATGCATATTGAAAAAACTCAAAAATAATATGAGCCAATACTTTTGTAAATGACTGTACGCATAAATGTATAGTTCTAACTCTGAGCTGGGCAGCAAATCAAACCTTGAGCAGATTTGCAAGCCTGGAAATGTAAGTATTCAGTTTTCAATTTCAATTAATAAATATCGGGCAGCTGTCAAGGGGCGAGGCGTACAACAGGCACTAATTAATTCAGAGACGGGCGCAAAGATTCACACCAAATGGCCAGACCAGGCTGGAAAAGCAGCAACAGGATGTGAGGGGACAACGCTGCGTTACCTAAATGGATGCAATCAATTTACGGGCAACAAAGTCAGCCAGGTCCATATCAATGTGCCCCGATGTCAGCCAGCTGTGATAGCAATGCTAACAGCATTCTCAGCCCCAGGAGTCCACAGAGAGTCCTGACCGGCCGCCAGTGCAAATTAATGAACAACGCAGCAAATCGAAGTAAATGGCAAAAGCTGCGCAGCGAAAAATATGCTAAGGGGGGTCTCAATGCGCAGTTGTGAAGGGAGAAGGGAAAAGGGGGTAGCGATGATTGCGTCATATTTGCATATTCATGTGTCAAAGCGCAAGGGGCGGCTGTGGTCGCTGCACTGATTGCTTAGCGTGTCAGCGAATGTATCTGCATTTGTATTTGTATCTGTATCTTTAGCTTTTACAGCAGTCCAATTGCTTCCGCCTAACTGGTCAACGAAATTTGTGTGCAAATGTGTTGTTGTTGCTTTACTTTAATTAGTTGTTCAGTTTGTCTGGCTAAGTGAGTGCCGGGTAAATAGAAAAACAGAAGAAGGCCAAGACGACGAAGACGATGCCGAAGCACTACTCTAATGGAACTAAACTTTGTGAAAATGCGTTTCGCCTGTTAATGGACGGTACACGCAGCTCATTAGATATTCCCTTTTCCATGCTAACTAATATGCATGCACTCAATGTGCAAATAGTTTGAGAGCTCAACAGCCCGACTGCAAACTCTCTTTCTCCCTATCTCTCTCTCGCAGTCAGTCAAGCTCAAAGCCTAACGACATCGGAGCATCTGCAGTGCCTGTACTGGCCAGGATGAGTCATTTGCTGCTTGGCCACTTATCATCAAAAGGATTGCGGGCTATGGCTTGTGCGGTCTTTTGGGCAGCAGCTAAAGATGCTTTCTACATAGCTTAAGGCTTTTAAATTGCTTTGTGGCTAAGCTCTAAGACATGCCCATAGTGCATATAATATCAAAAATAGTTTGGAACAAAGCCGCTGATTCGAAGATACTCTGTAAAGTATACTAATATTAAATATAAGTTTTATCAGATCTAAGTATATGTGAATAGATAAGCAAGTCCTTGATTAGGTTCCAGCTTAATATATAATTGTTATGAGCGTGACTTTGGTATGAATGTCGGACAATCAAACGGAAGCTCGCTGGCTTAAATCTTTATATTTGTTTATTGAAATTATTGCTGTTTTAGTTATTACACACGCATAGACGGGTGATGGGGTGTTTGGCCCGGGCAAGGACGGGTAATTTCTTCTAGTAATATATGTATGTACAGTAAACTTCAAAGCCCACACACTGAAGCCTACAAATATATTCCACTGCAAGCTTGTCACGTCTGAAGGGAGCGTGGGGGACCTCCATAATTTTATTATTTGAGCCAATTATGCTAAGGGTTGGAGAAAAGAGCTATTGTCTATCTTGTACGGGCTGCAGGCGAAAATTGTGCGAATACTTTTCCACACACAAAAAAGGAGAAGAGGCGCAATGCTATGACAACAAAATTAATAAAAACAAAAACAACTGCAACAAATATTGTCACATGCATAAAAAGGACCTCACAATTTAATGCCTGAATATATGAGCAGCCGTCGACATATGCACCATGTGTGTGGGTGTGCTTATGTGAGTGTGTGTGTGTGCCTGTGTGTGTGTGTGGGAGTGTGTTAGTGGGCATGTTGAATTGCCAACGTTACATATATGAAAGTTTTTAATAATACTTGGCTAAAATACCAAAGGAAAAACTTTTATTAATAAAGTTTCTTTCTTTCTTGTGCTAAGAGCTCCGTCTCTGTCTTCATCTTCGTCTGTGACTGCCTTAAGGCTTCCTTCCTTTTTGCTTCGGCAGCTACTAAGGTTTAATTACAGCTAGAAAAGAAAAAAAAGCTAGTGGCAATACTTTCTACGTATACGCATGCAAAGAAGTGCATCAGTACAAGCTTTCGTTTATGCGTAAGCGGAATTCGCGATCAATGAAATGCCAGTGTAAAGGCAAGACAATTATTTGGCTGCTCAGTTCAGTTGCCAGAGTTATCTATTGTTTAAAATAATAAAAATATACTCTACAAATATGTGGAGACAAGCGTAGGTCATCATGAAAAATGCCGAAAAAAATAAACGCTGCTAAATATTTGTGCTCTGCATTGGGCTAGACGTTGGACTTGCCAGGGTAAGGTTTCTGGTTCAAATTCGGCTGTAATTTGTAATATTTATATTAATATTCTTTTGACTAGGCAGATGAAGGGTAAATTCCTCTAGTTTTGTATAATTTTTTTTTTTGAGAGAAACCATTTTGATGCATCAATCTATTACTTTCATTTACTGTTATATGTTATTATATTACATTTATTATTATATTCAATTTAAATACTTTCTAAACTAATTTATATTTAATTATACAGTAGCATCTTCCTTAAATACATAAGAAAAAATTCAGATAATTATATAAAAATATCTAGATAAATGTGGACGCATATACAAACTAACTAAAAGGCACAAGGCACACACACTCGCTCACACAGACTTGCACACACACACACTACATAGTAAGCGACACTTGTCACATCGGCTACAATTGCAAGCTGCAACATGTCCGGATTGTCGTCTCTGGCGTTTTGTTCAAGTGCGCATTTTTGCCTTTGGCGGCAATATTAAAATTGAAGACAAGTGATGCCAGCGATAGAGCAAGCGCGGCAGCGAGCGGGGAACAAATGAAATGGCCGGAAATAGTTTTCCCTATTTTTGTGTGGAATTTTATTTAATTTTTGTCTTGGATGTTTTTTGATTTTGTCGTATTTGTGTCTGGTGATAGAAAGCAACTCCGCCGGCAGCGCCGCAACTTTTGCCGAAATACTTTTAATTAAAATTTCAAATTATTTTCGCCTCGTGCCGAAAGCCAGCGAAGACGGCGAAAGATGAGCACAAGTACAGTTAGCAGTTAGCCAAGTGCAATGGCGCACAAGATGGCGGACAGGAAGTACTGGAAAATGCGAATTGCAAAACGCTGAAATATTCAAAGCGCATTTTCAATTTAAAAGTTTTTGTGCCCAGGCATATTTATTTATTTTATTTCGCAATTTTTGTTTTGCGCTCATCATTGAGCCGGAGAGGGGGGTGGGGGGAAGAGATTGGAGGGTGGCCGCTTTGACCAAAACTTTGCGCCGAAGTAGGCAATGTCATTGAAGTGGGTCGAGGCGGGTGAATAATTTACAAGTGGCAGCAACAACAACAGTAACAGCAGCAACAACAACAACAACGATGGCAACTTTAATGCAATTTCGCTCTAGCAGATTTCATTTGTGTGACAAATGGGGGGCGTGGCCATGCAAATCGCAAATATAAAAAGAACTCATTAAAAGTTTATGCCACAAAGTTTGGCACAACCCTCTCCTCCCCTCTCCACCCCACCCCCATCACCAACCACTGCACTGCACACTTCACAAATCGCTTCGATGCCACGCCCAGGCCGCCCCCATACAACTTGTTTTCGCTTCCTGCCTTGTGTCCGAACCGCCTCTGAATTGCATTTGTTAGCTTGTCTGCATCCAGAGGGCGTTTGTTTTCGGGGGGAGGGCTGTGGCAGTGTTGTGTGCACAGGCCTTTTGTTTTTTCTATTTTTTTATTTTGGTTTTTGTGCAATAGTTTTAAAAGCGAGTCGGCGTTAGTTTATGATACAACTATCAATTGCAAACTTTCAACAAATTTAAAGCATTTTATTTCTATTCGAAATACTCAGACAAAGTACTTCGAAAGCATTATTAGAAATGGGCGAATGCATTCAATAAACAAATCTCCGCAAACTGTGTTAACTAGTTTTCATATTCAATATCAAAAAATATTGAAATACCAAGACCTAAGCCAGGCTAGAGAAAAGTAGTTGTAATCATTTAAAAAAATACACATATAAAGAAATATAAACATTTAGAAATATGTATTAAATCAAATTTATTAAATATTCAAATATTAGAGAACAAATTTATCCGGTGTGTTTTAACTAAAGCACACAAAATTCAGAAACTAGAGCAGGCCAACAGTGAGTTGAGCGTCTAAAATATAATTTTGGAATTTTGTCGGTCCTCCCCGTGGTTAAGGCTGTTGACCCTGACAGCTCTTAAATACCAGTGCCAAACTAAAGGTTATATGGAATCTTAATAAATTAAATATCAAGAATACATCTACTCGATCATAGTCGATCTAAACCAACCGAAACATGTATGGAGGAACTGTTCGACTATGTCCCTGAATTGGATCATTGCGTAGCGCACGGCCTGACATCCTGAAGAAGTTAACAATAATATAAACATATATAGTATATGTAGTGCTGGCAGCTCTGCCAGAGTGTTCAGTGTGTATAAAGTGAAAAAAACCAATTTAGTAAAATTAAACTAATAGAACCTAATATATTTTAATGGCTCCAGGAGATAAATATATTATTCTTACCTCCGCTCAGTCCATTTTTTTAAGATTCTTACAAATTAAGGCCCACAATCGTCCACAAATAAGACACAACAAATAAGAAACTTAAATAATTTTAAAAATCATTAAATAGTTAAAGACTGGACTTTTTACTTTTCAACAACATTTTTTGAGACCTAAATAACAACAGATAAGACTAATAATAATAATAATAATAATAATAATAATAATAATAATAAT